GAGGATGAGAGAGGAGGAGATGAGGAGGAAGATGAGGAGGAGGACGAGGAGGACAAGGAGGAGGAGGAGGACGAGGAGGACAAGGAGGAGGAGGAGGACGACGAGCAGAAGGGAAAAGGAGGAGCATTAGGAAAAGGAGGACGAAGCGGAGGAGGAGGAGGAGGAGGAGGAGGAGGAGGCGGAGGAGGAGGAGGAGGAGGAGGAGGGCAGGAGGAGGAGGAGACGAGGCACCCGCTTCTTCGGCCCGCCGCAGCCGGCGGAGGGCGCAGCGCCGCAACGGCCGGAGCAGCGGGCGCGCCAGCTCCGCGCACAGCGCCAGCAGAGCGAGCAGCGCCAGCGCGGGGGCCAGCCAGTCCTGTCGGGGGTTCGGGGAGGAGGAGGGAGAGGAGGAGGAAGAGGAGGACACTATGAAACGGGGTGAGTGCGATCACGGTGTTTTTACGCACTGTGAACACGGGTGTTAACAAGAGACTAACACGGGCACGACAGGTTGCAACCTGCCGCGCCCTGAGCCAAACGACAGCAGGAAGAGGGAATTGCTGGGCAAAGAATGCAGGACGGGTTGGTCAGCTACCGTTCGAGCTTGGTGCTCAAACGAGTCTGCGTGTGTCCTGTCGGTTGCAGCACGCAATCCGTACCGCAACCAATGAGGCCTCATAATTAAGTGCAGCAGGATATGACTTTGAATTCGACGCGCCCCGGGAGTTGCCGGACTTCGTGCCGTCCCAAGGCACCTTGGCTCCTAAGGTGCCAACCGCAAAAAGCTTCTACGGCGCGCAAGGCGGGACGGCAACTACTCCCGGCAGAGCTCCTGGAGCAAGCCGAAGCAGAAGCAGACTGACGCATCCCGCGACAATAAATGCAACGGGAGGCGAGGCTGCGCAAGGACCCTCTACTGACCAGGACCCTCTTAATGCCAAGAGCAGTGGGAGCAGACAGTGTGAGGAGCAGGCCCAGACGATTGACGTGCTGCACGCCAGAATGCCTGCTGCTCCGCGAACATAATTCATGGTAAAAACCCTCAATTGCGTGACCCACTAAGTCGCATTTGTGAGCATAGTTCGCCATGTCCTGGCGTTCTCTCATATGCCCTGCTACGTCGCATTTGCAAGCGTAACAACATGCAGCTGCCTTTGCCTCTCCCTATGTCTCATTCGCGAACACAGTTCGCGACATACGACCGCCGATGTGTTGTCCTCCAGCCGAAATACGTGCAGCAAGACGTCTGGCTGTTCATCCCGAGGGTGAGGTCGTCATCGTCGTCGTCCGTGGTCGTAGCCGCTGCCGTCGCTGTCTTCGTCGTCGTCGTCGTCGTCGTCGTCCGTCGTCGTCGTCGTCGTCGTCGTCGTCGTCGTCGTCGTCGTCGTCGTCGTCCGTCGTGGTCGTCGTCCATCGTCGTCGTCGTCGTCATCGTCGTCGTCCATCGTCGTCGTCGTCGTCCGTCGTCGTCGTCATTCCGCCGTCGTCGTCGTCGTCGTCGTCCGTCGTCGTTCGTCGTCGTCCGTTGTCGTCGTCGTCGTCGTCGTCGTCGTCGTCGTCCATCATCGTCGTCGTCGTCGCCCATCGTCGTCGTCGTCGTCCGTCGTCAACTTCTTGGTCAAAGTCGGCGTCCATCGTCGTCCGTAGTCGTCGTCGACGTCGTCCGTCGACGTCGTCGTCGTCATCGTCGTCATTCCGTCGTCGCCGTCGACGTCGTCGTCGTCGACCTCGTCCGTACAGAGCACTCATTTGTAATTCCGGTCATTTGTAATTCCCGTCATTTCCAATTCGGGCCACGAATTGCAAATGAAAGGTGCCGACGGGAAGGCATGTGCTCAAGCGCTACGCCCAACGTGTCTCCAAGGCGTCAGGGCGCAGCTTCTGCTTACGCTCGTAAAAGATCACAAGAATAACGGCAACAGCAACGTCGTCGCCGTTCCGTGTGACACGCAGGATTTGCGTGTCACGTCTACGCGACACGCAAATTCTGCGTGTCGCGTCGCCCGGCCGCCCAGAGCGCGTTCCGGGTGACACGCAGGATTTGCGTGTCACGTTTAATTACTTACGCGACGCCGGCCCGAGCGCGTTCCGTGTGACGTGACGCGCAGGTTCTGCGTGTCGCGTAGACGTGACACGCAAATCCTGCGTGTGTGGCCCGTGACACGCAGATTCTGCGTGTCCCCACCCCGGCCCCCCGGACCCCCGGCGTGCGACACGCAGATTTTGGGCCCGCGTGACACGCAGATTCTGCGTGTCCCCACCTCGGCCCCCAGGACCCCCGGCGTGCGACGCGCAGATTTTGGGCCCGCGTGACACGCAGATTCTGCGTGTCCCACCCCGGCCCCCAGAACCCTTGGCGTGCGACACGCAGATTCTGCGTGTCCGCCACCCTGGCGGGGCCCGCGTGACACGCAGATTCTGCGTGCCCCCACCCCGGCCCCCAGGCTCCCGGCGTGCGACGCGCAGATTGCGGGCCCGCGTGACACGCAGATTCTGCGTGTCCCCACCCCGGCGCCCAGGA